AAAAAGATAAAAAAAAAATATTAATGTTATTATATAGAAAAAAAAAATTTTTAATAATTTAGAAAAATATTTATTTTTTTATCATATAGAATTAAATTTTGTAGGATACTTAATTATAAAATTAAATTTTTTATAATTAATTTGAAAAATTAAAATAAAAAGATTATATTATATATAATTTTTAAAAGCATTTTATATCTTTATCTTATATTATATATTACAATCTTATATTATATATCTTTATTTATTAAAATGAAAAAATTACAACATTCTCATAATATAATGATTTGATATATTTTTATGAACAAATTAATAAAAAGTGAAATAAAAGGCTGAAAAGCTTTAAAGATATTACAAGAAAGATTTCAAACTTGCTTATATTTGATTTTATATCTTTTTTAATATTTTCTTTTTAAATTTTTAATGACTATACATATATATATATATTAAATTAAATCTAATTTATATCAATTAAGAACAAAATAAAATTAAAATAAATATAAAATTTAAATAAATATGAATTAAAATAAGCATAAAAATAATAAATAATATGTAAAATAACATATAATGTATTATCCAACATGTAAATTATCAAAAATTTTAATATCACAATGTTATTATTTATCTAAAATTTGAAGAAATTTTGTTAATTTAAAAATTATTATTATTTAACTTAAGAAATGAATTATGCATTTAATTAATAATAATTATATACAAACATTTTTATATTTTCCAAAATATAATTATTTTTCATTTATTTGAAATTTAAATCAAAATAATTAATATTGTTTTTCTTATTTAATATTATAATTTTTTCAAACGAACAATTAATTATATGAAATTTTAAAATATATTTAAAGATATTTCAGAAATAAAAATTTAAATATAAAAATCTTAAAAATTATCATTCTTCTTTGAGGATAGGATAGTCGTACTAAAATAACATTTTTCTTTAATTTAAAAAAAATTTAATTAAAATTGCTATTATTTGAAACGAAATTAAATGTTTAATAAACATTTTAATTTAAAATATGATTTATACTCACTTGAAGAATATTCATGTTTCACTGTTTATATTTTAGATCCTTTTCATTAAAAACATATCACAAAAACCAAATTAAAACTTTTCAATTTGATTGTCACACTTTTTAATTGAAAAGAAACAATTTACAAAAAACCATGTAATTTGAAGACAGCAAAGAAAGAGATAAAAATTCAATGTTTCATCCTTGATAACACACAATTGAAATGAGCGTGATGCGGAAGAACTATCACTTCTTCACAGTAAGATGTATCGAAAAAGAAGGACACAAAGCGAAAGAGATTTTGTACAAGAGAATTTCAAAGAGCAAGGAGAATGAAGAAAAAATAGGAAGAAAGGTGCACGTTTTAGTAGGGTCAAAGAGAGAGTCCATTGAAGTGTCTTCCATGCAACACGCTTATATACATTTGCTCCTTCTTTCCTTCCTTGTCTCTTTCTCTCTCTTATTCTCTTACATCTCTTTATCCTTTCTTTTATTCTTAAAGAATCGAACTCCTTTTCTATCTACCAATCTCTCTCTCATGTATATATTTCTACGAAAGTTCTTTTATTTGTTAAACAATCTAGAGAAAATTTATTTAATTTTAGGGTTGTTTGAGAAAACTTGAATTGATGATTTCAAACAGATAATTCCAAATGTAATATTTTATTATACTTTTTTACAGTTTTTTATTATATATATATATTATATTTTTTATTATATTATCTATATATATTAGGATATAAATATAGGGATAAAATTTTTTTTTATTATTATAATAATGAATAAAAGTCACTTTTTATAGAAATATTTAAATCTAAATTTGACTGACAATTACTACTACTGCAATTTAAAAATTATTACTTGTTATTATCAATTTTACAAACTTTTGTTTAATAGTTTATAATAATATGAATTTTATTTTTGATAAATAGTATTTCTTGTTATATAAATATAATTTTGGTTGAAAAGATTTCAAGTTAGTAGATTAAAAGAAATAATCATTTCAATAATAATATTTTCAATTTATATGAACATTATTTTACGTATTATTTAATGTATTATTTTAAAATATCAATAAATTCATAACATAAGATTAAGGAAAAAAATATTATAATAGTATTTTTGTACGCTGTCAATATATTCATAGGACATCTTTGATTTTAGAAAAAAATAAGTACAAAAGTTGATACAAAAATATCAATTAAAGTTTATTTATTAAATTATAAGCAATTTAAGTTTTATTAGATGAAGTGAGAAGAAAATAGAATACGATAAAACATATTTACTCTTTTTTCGTTTCTCTTTGTTTAATACAAATTTCAATTATTTAAAACTTAATAAAGAAAAAATGAAGCATAGTAAATAAAATATCATAAGAGTAACATATTTTTAAAAATATTTTTAATAAATTAACAATTATTAATAATACAAATTAATAATAAAGTGGAAAAATTTATCATCTACTGAAAGAAATATGAAATATAATTAAATAATAATAATTATCTTTTAACATATCATTTATTTTTTGTCAATGAATTATATTATCATTTCTCTTTGATTTTATCTTTTGATTCTTTTTTAATATTCTTTTTTCGATTTGCGAGTATTCACTAGATACTTTCAATAAACTCTCTTAAACATTTGTAAAATATGAAAACATGTTACAATGTTAAATATATAGTTTAACAATGTTAAATATATAGTTTAACATTGTTTATTATTTATTCTCCGTACATAACATTATTTGTATAAAAACATTTTAAATCATTAAAAATTCATTTATTTTCTTAGCTTGATGATTATATTAGATATATATTATTATTAATTTTTCCTATTATATATATTTTTATTATATTATTATATTTATTACATATTTTTATTTATATTTGTATAAAAGAACAATTTGTGTATCTCTATATATAACATTAGCGTTATATTTACCTTATATCTTCTCAGAATTAAGCAGATATGCCACAATAAAACAATAAATCAATAAATTCAGCGACGTTAATATAATATCGTTGCAATGATTAAATCAAGGAACATTTTCTTTTCGGTTCTTCGAGTAAAATTCATTTTCTACGAACCAATATTCAAAATGAGAGTATTTCTCATTGTATTTCTCTTTATCTTTATTTTGATTCAATCAGGGATACTTCAGATAATTCCTTCTGGAAGATCGTGCACAAGACAAGGATACTTTGAAATTATTGATGGAACGTGTAAAAATTATTATTTCTGTGTCTACAATGGAGTCGCATTCGTTTCATACGATCTGAAGTGTTTAGATTCGACTGTATTTAACCCTACAACGAATACTTGCACTGCAGATTATATTTGCAATCAAATTACAGTGGATCCTTGTCCCTTTGGAGTTGGTAGATTTCCAATAAGTGATTCCAATTGTCAGAAATATTATTTTTGTTATGTGGATAATGGAAGTTTTATGAGATATAATTTGACATGTCCAAATAATTTACAATTTAATTCGAAAACAAAACAATGTATGTTACCATGTCCAACTTCTTCACAAACTTCTTCTTTATCCTGTACAAGTTGTATATTACAATAAAAAATTGTATATTACAATAAAAAATGTACAATAAATAACAATTGATATGATAATAGATACGAATTAACATTGTTGTTTTATCTTATACTTTTAAGACGCTGTTTTGATAATCAAAAAAATTATTTTCTGTTTATTTTCATGATTATTTTTGTTATATTTCTACCACTATAAATTATAAATTATAATAGAGAAATATAATTTTTTATTTAAAATTATATAAAATTTATTTTCAATATGTAATTAAACAATATTTCTATTAAAATTAATCATAAACCATAAATCTAACTAATGAATGTAATTAAATATTTTTAGAACCAAAAATTTCAAAAAACAAAATTTTATATGATAAGGAAATATTATTGTATATTATATATTTTTTAATCCATAATTGTAAATTCAAGACAATTTTATCACAATAAAATGTAATCATATATATATTTCAAAATATAAATATATTTTTTTCTTATAAACTTATATAGATTTTGTTTTTTTCTTATAATTTATATTATAGGAAAAATTATTATACTTATAATTTATAAATGTATATTACATTATCGATATAATATTGGGATGTGAAAATTTAATTCTCTTAAATATAAATTTGATTTCTAAATTATTTATCTAAATTGTATGTAACATCAACATATATAAAATGACATGTTTTTTAATAAAATACTAGTAACTTTTATTTATAGGAGATTAAAAAAATTAAGAGAAAAAGATTAAATGATAATATTATATGTTATAATGATATAATTTGTGATCTTTAAATTTCCTTCTCATTTTCCTTTTCATTTTTTTTTAAGTTTTTGTTGTAACTTTTTCATGTCTTCAATGTTTACTAATGTTTTCTAGTAGAATAACAAGATGAAAAAAATATAACTTTCTATTTAAAGAAAAAAAGTTGATCTTCAAGTTAATTATTAAAAAATGCAACAAAGCAAAAGTAAATAATTGTATTTTCCCTTTAAAATTATGAAATTTTTATATTCAATATTTTTTTTGAAAATGCATTGTTTTGTTATTTAAATTGAAAATTTTTAAATGAACATATATATATTTTCAAAGATGAAATAAATACAATTTCTATTTTGATCATAGCAAATTGCAGAGGGCGTAACAAACACTACTTATAGAATTTATCATTATATTTTTAAAAACTGCGTTACCGACTAATTATCAATATTGAAGAATCAATTCAACAAAAATTATATTTAATGATTTATTATTAAATTCAATATTCATACCATTTTCGAAGCTAAAGATCAGATTAAAAAAAAATTTAATTTAAAATATTTGTATATGTATTGTATATATATATTGTATATATTGTATATATATATTGTATTTACAAATACAAAAACATAAATTGTAATATGAATTGTTATATGTATATTATATATATAGTATTCAATTCACATTCAATTTTTTTTTTATTTTGATATCGCAGATTTTTTATTAATTTTAATAATTTAATTAAATCAAATTTTTTTTTTATTCATAAGAATTTAAGATTTCTGAAAAAAATTTTTAGATATAGAAGTTTATTATTTAAAGATTCGAAAAAAATTTTCATTCAATAAATATTTACAAAAAAAACATTATTAAAAATCTGAAAAAATTATAATTATATATTATAACTTATTTTGAAATTGATATCAAAAGCAAAACTAAATCTTATCTTATTAGATTAATTTAGTATTAATTTAGTATTTTTTTTAGTATTAATTTATTTTAATTTATTAATTTATGATTTAATCGAATGAACTTTATAAATAACGAAATATATGATATTATATAAATAAGTAAATACAAAAACTAGTACATAAACATGTCGATTGAACTTATTTATTAAATTACAAATAACTTAAATTTGTATTAGATAAAGAAACAGAGATATAGCAAAATTATGATGAAAATAAAACTATTTCTATTTTAATAAGCTATTTCTGTCTCGCTTCCTCTATCCCAAATTTAAATCCAAATAACAAAAAATTAAAAATTATTCATTTAAATTCGCTTTTTTCATTAATAAAACTTTCTGATCAAAATATATCTGAATTTTCCCAATATTCTATTCATATTTGAATATTTTTAACATTAGCTAATAAAATATAATTTTCTAATTGCTAAAAGAAAAATATATATATTTACTTTATTTATACCCGATATTATACTTTCAAATTATTGTTCAATATAATATGTATAATATGTATTCGTGTATTATTCGATTATGAAATTAAGATATATACATGGATCTTTCAGTTGATTAAAGTTTGTCAACAATACACGTACTTTAACAAGAAATAAATGAAAGGAATCGTTATTCGTTTTTGAATTCATAATTATAGTTTATCAATAATATTTCCATCATTTAGAAATAATTTTAAAAAAATTTTTCGTTCTTGTTTTTAAAAATTATAATTTTTCAAGAATCTTCAGTGATTAGAAATATCTTCAATTAATTTTAAAAAAATTTATGGTAAGTACAAAATTGTAAATACTGATATACAAAATATTGCTGACGATAAAATTTTATACAATAATTCATATTTAATTAGCAACATGGATGCAATAATTGCTAGAAATATAATCGAATTAGCTGGAGCTATGATGGAAGAATTCGAATCTGTATGGACTAAGATAAATAAAATAGATCCTAGCCAAGTCAATTATCGCATAATGAAATTATACTTGATACATATAAAAGAGCAACGAAATTTGATCGTTAAAGCTACTTCTTTTGATTCCCATAATTTTCCAAATCTTCTCACTATAAGAAAGTGTTTCTTGCAAAAATTTATTGAATTTGTACCTGCAGTACAAACGTATTTGATAAAATTTAAGGAATTTGATATAGACCAAGTAAAAATAATTGAGTAAGTAAAAATTATTATAGAAAACTGAGTAGTAAAATTATTATAGAAAATAAATTATTGTATATTAAATTTTTATTAATAATAAATTTCAATTTCCAGAGCAAAATCTTAAGAATAATGAAAGTGATAATTTTTTAAAATTAAAAAAATTTTTTCATTTCGCAAAAAATAAACTTAAACTTATTTTTTTCTTAAATTCATTCCTTTTTAAAGATATTTTATTTCGAAAATATTAAATTACTCAAAAGAATATTTTCCATAAATTGTTTCATTCAAAAATTAATCATTTTATATATTTTCATACATATGTTAATTTATAATTTTTTTAATTCTTACTTCAATTTTTGCAATAGAACATGATGTTGTTTTTTGCTATCTTTTTATTTTTTTTCATACATATATTCTATATAAAATAAGAAAAATAGCAATGTACAAATATAAAATTTTGTCTTTACTAACATAAAATAAATTTACGGAATATTATTTTTAACGTATATTTTATTTAAGTATTAAAATTCTTCAAAATCTTCAATTTTTTTTTTAGTAAAATTGGAAAGTACACAAGTATTATAACAACGTTAATCAATTTTTTTTTTAACTTTTTTCATTTTATTATACTTTACATTGGTCCAATGTAATCGAATGTATGCTGATGTGATTTATTATTGTTGGTCACATAACTCGAATAGTTATAGATTTTTATAGATTTTCTAAGTTAAAGAATTGTATCAATATCCAATATGTATACGATCGGATATAAATTATAAATATGAATAAATATTGATTAAATATTGATTTTTATATTCTTTAAGATTAATTAATTATTTTTTTCAATTAATTATTTAAAAAAAAAGTAGAAATTAAGGATTCATTAATTTTTTTTCTTTGATTAAAAATTTTTTTAATTTTTATTTTTATTTTTATTTTTATTTCTGGAAAATATATATTTCAGTATTCTTTATCATATATATTTTATATGGTTGACTTCCTTTTTACATTATATTTTTTTCAGATTTAATTAACTTTTTTTATTTTATTTTAAATATTATTTTTAATTTTATATTTTAATCTTTTTAATTTAAATAATTTTAAATTAATTATAATAAATTATTTTTATTATATTTTTACCAGGAAAAACTCTAAATTTAAAAGTATAAAAATTAATTAAAATATATATTATATAAATATGTATAAGTATTATATAAATATATATTATGAAATATATTATATTTCAATTTTTATGCGGTTGAAGTGAATAGGAAAATACACTATTCGTCAATCATAAAGTTGTTAAAATTTAAAGACGAATTACTGCATCATAATGCGCAATTTATAATTGAAAATTGTAGTAATAGCTCATTTTATTTATAATTATATAGAATTTTTATTAATCATTTTTATTAACATATCATATATTATTGAACTTAATCATAAATTAACTTTTATTTAGTTAATACATATTTATTTAATCATTACTATACCAAAATTACACATGTACGTGATAAATTAAAAGTTTGAAGGAATATGAAAAAAATTTTTAAGATAGATAGAATGTTTAAAATATTTTAATGCTGTATTTAAATTTGATTCAAGATATTTTCTAAGAAAATTGCATAAAAAAATTTGATTAAATAAAATATATTTAAAATTAAGTATATTTATAAGAATTTAATTAAATAGTTTAAAAAATTTAATAAAATAACGTATTGCAAATAAATAGATAATTAATGGAAAAATAATAATAGTACTTTGTGGGAAATTTATTTTGCTTATTTTTTTTTTTTTATTCTTTTTATGTTTTTAACTATCAATTATTTTTCACTTTCATGATAAAAATTCAAACTATTGATAGAAAATCTTTTAATTTAGATTTTATTTTCAGATTCTTCCGTTTCGGTTTCCTTATAACTTTTTTTTATTATTTACATTAAACAGCGATCATAAATTTAGATATTTTACCAAAAGAAAAATTTATTTAAAAATAAATAAATTTTTGTGCAAAAAAAAAAGATGAATAGGATCTCGTAGTTGAGATGTATCTCCAACTCAGCAATCTTCAAGCAAGAAGACCTAGAAATCATTATTATTTAAATAATAATACATAATCATAATAAATAATAACAATACATAATCATATCATTATATAAATATGAATAGTATTATATTATATAATTATAATTATAATATAATATATTTTATAAGATAAAAGCTAATTATAAAGCAGCACAATTATATATTATTTGCATAAAAACATATTTTAATACATGCATTTCGATAGGCGGCATAACAATTATACCCATATTAATTCCATCCCATTTATTTTTTTCCCATCTATTCTCAATTAGAATTTAACATTCTAATTTCTTATAAATTTATATTTGTTTGAATAAGACAAGTTGATAGATACAAACATATATTCATGATCGATATATGGAAAAGATAAAACCGACTCATAAGCCGTGTATATATACATATATTCCTACATAGTAGGAAAAGATAAAGATTTTCAATTAAATTTACAAAGAACCATATAAATTGACTCTGACCGTAATATTTTACAGCTAATAATATACAGCTATATTTATATAATTATATAATTTTATATAAAATATTATATAAATTATATATATATAATAAAAT